AATTTTTAAACGCGATACAGGCCACAGTTATGGACCAATCTTCACGAAATTTTGCATGTAGGATGGTTTCTGGCCAATGAAGACCCCTATTGTTTTTGGAAAAGATCGTTTAATATTAAGGGGATGAAATGGACCAAAAACTTTATTTTTGTCGGTTTTTCTGGTCGCTCCAGAGGCCGCAATTATGGCCCAAACAGCGCGAATTTTTGCATGGAGAAGGGGATCGGACCAGCGAAGAAGCATGCCTGTTTTGATAAAGATCGGTCAATATTTAGCGGGTGAAATGGACCCGAACATTTGTGTGAAAAACGACAAAATTTGTATTCTATGGCGTATATATTTACCACTGAAGGACATAGACCCGATAAGTAGATAGTATATCCAAGGGGAGTGGTCGATCTTTAAATTGATACCAATTATATTGTCGTAGGTACTCGGATGCGGGAGTTACACTTAAATATTTACAGGTGATTACGTATTCACATACTATTTAGTAATCTATTACCACACTGGAGGGCGAAAATATAGCGCTGATCGCTTTGAAATGTTCCATGAGGTTCAAGTTATGGTCAAGGACAGCGCCTAAAATGTTAGGTGATGATCAGATAATATTTTTCGGATGAAGTGGACCGAAAACTTAATTATTTGTACTTTTCGAGTCGAAAGCCGAACATCACAACACAACCCACTGTGAAGGGAATCTGGACAAGTAATTAGAGGGTCTGTACTGATTATGAGTAACATTTACTGACCTCTAGCCAGTCAAAAGTGTGCAAATATCGTGAAATATTGCCCAATCTCAGAATATAGAAACACAGAAAGTTAGATTTTCATGGAAGTTGTGTAGGGTATCGTATGGTCGGCCCCGTGAGACTATACTGCTCCGCTCACTGGTTCTCACTTATATTTGATCGCTGAACAGTACCCAAGAATTTTTCCTAAGATCTAAATATTCAATATTGAAATTATTAATTGTACAAGTGTGACAACGTTTTTTTTCGTTTAATCGAGCAATTTTCTGAAGAACGTATTCTCCCGTTGGGGAGAGTTACGGTCGATCAGTTCTCTTGATGTGTTCATAGTGATCAACTGCATATTGTACAGCATCTCGCCTCGTGGTTCGGGTGGAATATACAAAAGTTAAAAGAAACGAGGAAATCCTGTGATGAAAAGTTCTGAATTGATGAAAAACGTTATTTGAAGTTCCAATAAAAAGACTTTTTTATTGGAACTTTATTTAATTATTTCGTTCCAATCAATATGTTTGAGTGTGTGTGTGGCTATCGATATTAACACAGTTATTTGTGATCTCTTGTCTATAATCGAAGCTAAAAAAAGAATTAAGCGAAGAACAAAGTCACTGAGTCTTCAACCATTATTATCAAGAACATTGGGAAGGTGTGAAACTAGTGATCATACATGATCATGCCTTTATTAAAATCATCATAACATACAACATCCAAGGAGATTATAAATTACAGCAGTGAAAGGCCTTTCAGGGTTAATTTTCCTTCCTTTTCCCGGAAAATTAATCAGCATTACCAACCCAGTAATTTAGCTTAAAACAGTTTGAAAGTCACTTTTACATAAACTAGCATTAAAGCTGAGTGCCAGACTTATCGAGCAATAATTGAGAATTGGTGTTTGGAGACTTCAGTTGCTTTGAAAAACAAATAACTGTTGTCTCTCGATTTTTTTCTTTGCATATGTTCTTTTTCTATCATATATTCTTTTGTCAATTTTATTTTTTTTTCTTTCGTCATTGAACTTAGTAGAATTATCAGCTGTGATAGTTTGATTATTATTGGGATCGATACCCACACATATTATTGAGAAAGAAAAATGTTTATAATATTAAGTCCTTATATTATTAAGATGCTTAATTTATTGCTTAATGTTACCATTTGTTCATATTTAATTTTGTTAGTTTATAAAATGATTATTTTTGAAGTTATCATTAAATTGTTGGCTAAAATTGCCATGAACTGCATCCTGTTATTAGTTTGACCTTTGTAGGCACAGGAGGTTGTTGGTAGGGGGTACGAAGAAGGGTTACCGGAATATTACAACGGATGTTGGGTAACATGGATGGGAGGGCTTGTAAGTTGGTGCAACAACATCAGCACTAGCTAACCTTGACTTAAAATATAATAGTTGTTCTTCCTTTCTAAATTATTCTATTTCTCAGCATGCTAACCCCACCCACTGACGAGCAATAAGGCTGTAGAAACTAACCATGCCATCGCCACTTAGGTCTATACTAGGAGTAGTTTCGTGATTTTTCTACGAACTTTACAATGATTTATATTGGTTATATGCTACACCTTTAAATTGGGAACAATGACACTGTATACTGTCTGTCATGCGCTGAGAATATTTATATTACAGGTTTTCAGGTTGGATAAACATTAACACACCGAAAATTAAGCGATACCTTGGTTAATAAGTGTTTTATTCACCAGGAACCTGCAATGCAAAATTACAGTTGTAAAATACTAGGGTAATATATTAGGGTATCCGACAAACATTCCGTAGTGTTACAAACGGATTGACAAAGTTAAACTCATATTATTGACCGCCTAAAGATTTCTTAGTGGAACGGCTTCTTATCTAAAATGTGGGTAACATAATATTTGTTACCCATATTTGGTTTTGTTATTTGTGGCCCAATATTTTATATTGGGCCACTTCACTTTAATAAATAATGAGAACCGATAATAAATGTTCGCATATCTGACTGCATTTGCCGAATGAAATCGAAAATCAGTTTTGAATGGTTTTCTATTATCAGAGTAATTACGCTTTATCACCGGTGTCCAGTTTTGAGGAAGTATTGCCAATAATCAAATTTTTTCCCGTATTGGTGGATTGTTTGGAATAAACAAATGTAGATAAGATACTAAGAAAAAACACAGCAGTCATGGACTATGATTCATTTGGTCAAAGCCCTTTTCGGTTTTGAGAATTCCAAAAATGTAAACAAAATATTTTCTTAAAAAAAATCAATGAATAATTCTGATGTATTATTAATCGTGCAATTGAAATAGATTAGGATTAATAAGAAATATTGACTCAAAAAAAATTCCAACAAAATTTATAAATATCTATATTGAAATTCGCAAATAATGCAGTCAGATAAGAAATTGACCACAATTATATTATGATTTTATATGCCAAACACTTTGTTTTATTGGACGATCGCAAAAAAGTATCCAATCAGACTGTTTGGCGAAATGAAGACCATAAAATAATTTTGAGAGAGGAAATTGAGGTCGATGTATAATTTGTTTTTAAATGAGGAACACGTGCCTGTTCCCATTTTTTATACCCTTCACCACACTGTGGTACAGGGTATTATATCTTTGTGCATATGTTTGTAACAGGCAAAAGGAAACGAGATAGACACACGGTTCCTTTTGGGAATATGCATAGAATCACTTTCTGAGTCGATTTATGCATTCCCGTCCGTCCGTCTGTCTGTCCACGTTAAATTGTAAACAAAGTACAGGTCGCATTTATATTCCGAATTGCATAAAATTTTGCACAGCTCATTTATTCGGCTCAAGGATGAACCTTATTGGGAAAAATCGGTTCAGATTTAGATATAGCTCCAATATATATTGTCGTCCAATTTAATGCAAATGATGCACCAAAATTCCTATATGTCTTTCGATGTGGACGAAAGTTGGCATAGCGTACTGAATTAGGTCTAGAATGATGTGTATTACGATTCATGAGAATGGGTTAAGAAGTTCCCTCGAGGGAACATTGAAATGAAATTGTTAAGATACCTATGTAGAATAGACCGAAAGTGGTGAAGGGTATCACATAGTCGGCTTAGTCCGACTTTACTACTTTCCTTACTGGCTTTGTATATATAAGAATGTCATATGAAATTAGTTTTTAGCGGGACTTTCATAACATATTTATACCCTCCGTGGTACAGGGTTTTATGTATATGTGCTTGTGATTGTAACATGTAAAAGGAAACGATATAGACCCAGGGTTCCTTTTGAGAATATACATAGAATAACTTTCTGAGTCGGGTTATGGATGTCCGCCCATCAGTCCATGTTCAATATTAAACAAAGAGAATGAGATGAAATGTAGGACATCCCACATATTTTGCCTTATTCTAATTGTAGAAAATCGGTGCAGATTTTGATATTGCTCCCATCAGAAAGGTTAGCCATGGTTTGAATTAAAAAAAAAACGATATTTCTCACAACTTACACATTTTTTATTATTATTTATTAATTCTTAATTTTTATTTATTTTTTGTTGTCACAAATTCCTTCCGACATCTACACATCTTCAGTTCATATAAAAATACCAAAAATGCACTAAACAATCCCACAAACCAAATTAAAAAGACATAGTAAAAATATTCCAAAGTCAGGGAACGGTTCAATACTTCATCATGAAAGAATTTACTACGACCGGCAACATACGTATCCCAATGACTGTCGGATAGGTATTTCCGAAATATGCCACTTTCTGTAATGCGGCCAAGATAATCATCGACTTGTTCGTCAACCTTTGAACCATGCTGCAGCAGTAGTGCCATATGTGTGGACAATATAGCTTCGGGTAACATCTTCGAGCGGGGTCTTTTCATGTAAATCTGTTGTGATATCATCAGACGGGCTAAATCATCACGAATCAAATAAATAGAGCTCGTATTCAAGTCCATACGTTCCACAGATAGTTCGGTATTATTCTTACGGGTGTAGATTCGTTCAAAAAATAGTGGAGGTAGATTTTTCACCGCCTTGAATTGTGGAACCTGGGCGGTGTGAAGAAGAATACGTAAATTGGTTTTGGCAATATCTTGCATATTTTGGATTTCAGGTTCGTAGATTCGGGCCGTATACATACTGGATAGACTGCAACCATACGAGTTGGTTAAATAGAATCCGGTAAAGAGGAAGATCAAATTGAGGAGGAAATGAAGAAAGTCGCGCTTTTCCACGATATCGATGCCAAGGAAGAGAACAACTTTCAGGGTTTGTATCATCGTAATGCCGAAATATTTTCCCCTGGCAATCCAATTGCGTGTGGAAAACAGCAGTAGAAATAACAGAATCAGCATAAACACAGTAAGAAGTATGCCCAACCAGGCGCTTATCTCAAATGTTGATACGAACCACAGAGACCAATCCACTTCTCTGGAACGTGGCACAACCATTACGTAATTGGTAAAGAAAAATGGATAACTATTTGTCATATTCTCGGAGGGCAACATTTGGTTCGGTACGAAATCGTAATCCCTCAAAGACGTCCTATGCACTTTCATGTTCCATATATCCCAGAGCGAATGACGCATGGTACCATTGTGGTGTTTTATGAATGTCTCAATAACTCTAAAATAATAACCAGCACGAACCAATTGTCCCCAACGATTGCGATAGATGAAACAGCGTGGTGGATAATCTTGATCGGCAACATGAAATTGCCACTGATGGAAATTCCGCAGTCGAGATTTATCGTTTAATTCCCAGTAGTGCTGCAGGGCATAGATGTTGGGTTGCTTCTTAAACGGGTGGTATGTGAAGATGCGGTTATGGCACCGGGGCAATTA